CGCTGCCGCTGGCCAGGCCGACGGTCCGCGGCCGCCCCGCCGCTTGCCGGGGCCCGGCCTGCAGGGAAGAAAGGTCCCCCCCAAAGGGGTTCGATCGAAGACGAAAAAGGCGGGTATCGACGGTTTGGGAAATTCGCGTTATTCGACACTCGAGCAGATAAGGGCGAACAGTCTTAAAGTGATTGTTGTTGTTGTTGCTGCTGCTGCTGTCGTTGTCGTTGTCGTGGTCGTTGTCGTTGTCGTTGTCGTTGTTGTTGTTGTTGTTGTTGTTGTTGTTGTTGTTGTTGTTGTTGTTGTTGTTGTTGTTGTTGTTGTGCTTGTTGTTTGTTGTTTGTTGTTGTTCTCTCTGTCTCTGCCTCTGTCTCTGTCTCTGTGTTTGTCTCTGCCGCTGTCTCTGTCTTTGTCTCTGCCTCTGCCTCTGTCTCTGTCTCTGTATGTTGCTGTCTCTGTCTCTGTCTCTGTCTCTGTCTCTGTCTGTGTGTCTGTCTCTGTCTGTGTTTTTTTTGTTCTCTCTCTCTCTCTCTCTCTCTCTCTCCCCTACATATATATTTATCTTATTGTTTTTTGTTATCGATCTCTCTCTCCCTCTCTCTAGCTGTGCGAGTACCATGGGCACCAATGCACGCACACAACTGGTTTGGTCGGACTTCTGGTCCGTGGTTGGGGCCCTAGACAGCCCCATGACAGTCGCCAATGGGCCCTTGGAGGCCTCCGGGTGCCTCCGAAGCCCCCCGCGACGGCCCGAGTGGCCCCAATGTGGCTCCAGATGTGCCCAAGGTGGCCCACAGAAGGGCACAGGGGCCCCCCAGAGACCCCCCGAGAGAGAGAGCTCCGAGGAGCGTTTCGAGGCAGACCCCGCAGATCCTTTTTGTTGGGTTTTTGTTGAAGGCTCTCGATGCTTGCCGCTTCTTAGGCCTCCGCCGACGCTCCTCGACGGCCCCGGTGGCTCCCGAGGCCGCCCCGAGGGGGCACAAGGACGGGGTCCCCAAGAGCGCCCCAGGACGGCCCCCAAAATGGCCTGCGAGGCGCCCGAGACAGCCGATGAGGGCCCAGTCGTGGCCTCTGAGCGGCCCGTTGCCCGAGCGATACCTGCGCGCCCCCCCTTCGCCGCGCGCGGATCGCCGCCGCCGCGCCGGGGCCACCAGACGAACCGAGGGTTTTGCGGCGCGGCGCAGCAGGCCGTAGAAGAACACTTCTGTATATGTACATGCACCAGGACCCCACAAGGACCAGCGCCACGAGTTGTTAGGAAGGAGACGGGGAGTCGAGAGGAACTGCGCCACTGGGACGGAACATCTGGGTGGTGTTAACAACGAGGCCCGACGGGGCTACAGAGAAAGGTATCCAGCTGCCTGCGGCAAACTCGCCACCTCGGGCCCCCCCCCCCCGCATTCCTCTGGTGGCCGTTTGGCGGCACTTCCCTTCCCCACGCTTGGCCGCAGTGAAAGTGTCCCGCGCGTGGGGGGGAGAGGGGCCCCCGCTCCCTGTCGGCGAATCGCTTCGAGTGGCGGCCCTTCGAGCGTCGCCCAGAACGCCGCCGCGCGTGACACCTCTCCTCTTCAAGCGTCTTCTGGAGCTCTTAGAGGGCCTATTCGGGCCGTCTTGAGGCTGTCTCGGGCTTCCGCGGGTCAGCGCCAGGGCCCCCTGGGGGTCGTTTTGGGCGTGGAAGATGGAGAAAGTGTGGAATGAGACAGCAGGGAGAAGTCGATGTGTCTGGCCCCCCGAGGGCCTCCTGGAGAGTGCATTTGTAGCCCCTGGGATGCCTCGTAGGACCTGCTAGGCGCTTCCATGGGGGGGCGGGCTGCCGAGCACCTCTTGGCGGCCTGGATGACCTGCCTGCCTCCCCGGCGAGAGGCGCGGGGCCACCCGGGGAGCCTCGGGAGAAAAGGGCCAGTGCTTTCAGCGACCTACTTTCACATGTTGGGGGCCCTTGGGCGACTACAGGCGCCCGCGCTCCACCGCCCCGGCGTGCCAGGGGCGCGCGAGGGCGGATGCTTCCTGGAAGCCTGCGCCAGTCCACTGCCGCCCACAAGGAGCTGCGAGCGCGACGCGTCTGAGAAGGGTGCGTCGGGTTTCGAGCGACGTATTACTCTTACTTTTGCCCATTGCCACAGTGCCCCCTGCGCCGTAGCCAGTTGGGAACATCAAAATACTTTGAGAACTTCGTATACGCTTCGCGTGTTGCAGTGAGTCCGTGCAGGACCTGTTGCCGCAGCCGCTTCTTGGTTGCCTTCTAGAAATTGTTGGGGTCTTGTGGGGGCTAACGCATCAGTCAGTGCCATTCTCTTCCTCCATCTCAGTAGAGTAGAGCGAGGTCTCGCTCCCAAGTAGGCCGGTCGGTATTGCTTCGCAATCGTTCCGAATTTTCCTCCTCCCCCTCCACTCTCTTGGGATGCGGAGGAGGAGGGGGGGGGAGGAGGAGGAGGAGGAGGAGGACGACGACTACGAGGAGGCAAAGAAAGAATGCAGTCATATAGCCAAGCTATTGCGCGTAGGGGGCAGGGGATGTGGAGGGAAAATGAAACGGCGGAGGCGGATGTGCGGAGGAGGAGGATGCTGCTGCTGCTTCTTATGGTGGTTGTGGTGATGATGATGCTGATGGTGCTGCTGCTGCTATTGATGATGCTGATGATGCGGATGTTGATGGTGACGATGATGATGCTGCTGATGACGGTGATGACGACGCTGACGGTGATGCTGATGACGATGATGATGGTGGTGGTGGTGCTGATGATGATGCGGCTGGTGATGATGATGATGATGATGATGATGATGATGATGATGATGATGATGATGCTGACGATGTTGGCGACAATGAGGATGATGATGAAGACGATGGCGACGACGACGATGTTGATGATGATGACGAAGGTGTTGATGATGATGCTTCTGATGCTTACTATTGATGATTGTTGATGGTGATGATGCTGATGATCATGGTGGTGGTGGTGATGGGGGTGGCGATGACGATGATGCTGTTGCTGCTAATGATCATGATTATGATGATGGTGGTTCTTCTGCTGTGGCTGAGAATGATGATTATTGTAGTGGTGGTGGTAATGATGATGATGCTGATGATGATGATGGTAATGGTGATGCTGATGATGACGATGATGAGGATGTTGATGATGATGCCGATACTTGACTGATTGATTCATTGATTGTTCTTATTGATGATGACGATGGTGATGATGATGACGATGATGGTGCTGGTGCTTATGCTGATGATGTTGCTGATGACGATGATGATGGTGATGATGATACGATTGCTGCTGATAATGATGACAATGCTGATGATGATTGTGCAGATGGTGATGTTGTTGTTGAGATTGAAAGCTATGATGATGCTGACGATGATGCTGTTGATGCTGCTGAGGATGGGGATGATCCTGCTTTCGCTGCTGCTGATGATGATGAAGATACGGATGACGATGATTTTAATGCAGCTGCTGGTGGTGTTGTTGTTGATGATGATGATAATGATGATACCGACGACGATGACGATGATGCTGATGCTGATACCGTTACTGCTGATGATACTGATGGTGATGATGAATAGGATGAGGAGGAGGAGGGCGAGGTGACAAGTAATAAGTAATACAGGAGGGGAATGCGGCAACCTACATATTCGTAGATACCTCTTCCTCTTCATGTTGTGGCTGTTTTGATCAGGACTGGTCTTGTCGGGTTGACTTCCATGTTCTCTGGTCTGAGCTGATCTGGTGTTGTCTTGTCGGACCAAGTCGGGACACCAGAGGAGACGGGTAATGAATAAGAGGGTACGTAACGGAGGGTGAACAGGAGGATGAGGAAGAGGAGGAGGAGAAGGAGGAGGAGGAGGAAGCGAGGAGGAAGAGGAGGAGGAGGAGGAGGAGAAGACAAGGAGGAGGAGGAGGAGGAGGAGGAGGAGGAGGAGGAGGAGGAGGGGGGAGGGGGAGGGGGAGGGGGGGGGGAGGGGGAGGGGGAGGGGGGGGGGGGGAGGGGGAGGGGGAGGGGGGGGGAGGGGGAGGGGGAGGGGAGGGGGGGGAGGGGGGAGGGGGAGGGGGAGGGGGAGGGGGGGGAGGGGAGGGGGAGGGAGGAGGAGGAGGAGGTGGAGGAGGGGAGGAGGATTTTGGAGGAGGAGGAGGAGGAGGAAGCGAGGAAACGAGGAGGAGCAGGAGGAGGAGGAGGAGGAGGAGGAGGAGGAGGAGGAGGAAGCGAGGAAGCGAGGAAGCGAGGAAGCGAGGAGGAGCAGGAGCAGGCGGAGGAGGAGGAGGAGGAGGAGGAGGAGAACAACAGGATATTGAGAGAGAGAGTGAGAGAGAGAGAGAGAGAGATAGAAGGGGAACGAGAGAGTCACGCCATGATGGAAGTGGTGTGGCACTGTTCTCGATGCCTCTTGGGGTTCTCTTGGTGTTTCCCGGGGGCGTCTTGCGCTGGCCGCCTCGGCCGTCTCAGGGAGCTTCCTGTGGTTGTGGCGACCTTTTGTGGGGTTCGTGGGACTGTTTCAGGGGCTGGTATTTGAAGCACATCTCTGATTAGCAGTTCGGGCGTTTTGGGCGTTTCGGGGATATCTTAGGACGCCTCGTGGGGCTTCCTAAGATTGGGAATGGCGTGCTTGTTAGCGTCTTCGAGGCATCCATGGACTGCCTATGTAATAACACAGTGCTCGAGTGCTGGATGTAGTCTTCTCTTCGCTGGCGTCGTCGACCTTAGAAACTGCGAAGGGGGCTCTGGCGCAGCTCGGGCTTTCGAAGTTCGGGTATGTTGGGGTCCTGGACAGGGGCCGTGTGGGGGAGGGGTGGCAGCCTCTTCCTGGGAGGGTGCTTGGGGGACCCTGGGCAGCACGAGGAGGAGGAGGAGGAGGAGGAGGAGGAGGAGGAGGAGGAGGAGGCGGAGGAGGCGGAGGAGGCGGAGGAGGACACCGCAGGCCACCTGCCGCCCTTGGGGCCACTTGCCGCCCGAGTTCAAACGCTTGCCGGCCCCAGCCCGCCCTTCTGCTATGCAACGCTGCTGCCCAGGTCGCGCCCGCGCCTCACTGGCAGGGGTGGCCAGCGCCTGGGCCCGGGCGGCCGCCTGCGCAGCTGGCCGTGCCAGCACACGCAGGCTCCCTCCGCGGAGAAAGCGGCACCGCTGCTTCGGCGGCATGTCGTCGGAGCCTTGTGTACACTCCGTATTCCGTCTTTAGCGTCGACTTAGCGTCGATTATAGCGTCTGGGAGTCGATGAGATGACGCCGATGTAGCGTCGGTTAGTATCGATTAGCGTCGATTAGCGTCGATTTAGCGTCGACTAGCGTCGATTCGCAAGAGCCGACAAGATGGTACGGGAGGCTCCCATGAATTGCCACCGAACGATACCGCTACTCGTCCTGGAGATTCCTCGTCACCGCGGCTGGATTCTCCTCGAAATTCTGGTCAGACCGCATTCCGAGAGAGGTCCGGGGAGTAGTTTTGTCTCCCCCCTTCCGAGGGGCCAGCTTTTGGCCCCAAGCCCGTCTCCCCCCAAGCCGCCTGACGAGCGGTTGAGATTGTCTCTGAGCTGCTCCCCCCAGTGTCGTGAGCGACTTCAGGGTGATAGCGCAGAGGATAAAGACCTCGCTCCCAACTTGGGCATTCTTCGCCGTATGGGTCATGAATGCCCGACGTAGCTTCGTGACAACGTGTGCGAGCACGGGCTTTTTTTGACAATAAACATCGTGATGATGATGGTGGATGCGATGACGATGGTGACGATGATGATGATGGTGATGGTGATGATGATACTGGTGATGGCGATGATGATGAGAACGATGATGCTGCCCACCACGGTTATGATGGTGTTGATCTGACGATGATGACGACCGTGATGCTGATAATGCTGATGTTGCTGCAGATGATGATGGTGATTCTAATTAGGATCTCGTTGATGCTGTTCCTGATGATGATAAGGTGATATTATGATGATGTTATGGTGATGATGATGCTGCTAATGATGATAACGACGACGACGACGACGATGAGGATGTCGACGACGATGGTGACGATGCTGCTGACGCTGAAGCTGACGCTGACGCTGACGCTGATTATGATTATTACTATTCTTATGATGGCAGTGTCGTTGATGGTGATGATGATGCTGCAGATGATGATACTTATGTTGACTATGCTGATGATGATTGCGATGATGATGCTGATGATGACGACGACGCCGATGACGCTGATGCTGTTGAGGATGATGTTCTGTTCTATGATGCTATGATGGTGTTGTTGATGCTGATGGTGATTTTGCTGCTGATGCTGATGCTGCTGCTGCTAAAGATGATGATAATGCTGATGATGATGATGATGACGACGATGACGACGATGACGATGACGATGACCATGCTGCTGATGATGATGCTGATGATGATGATTCTGATGATGTCGATGAGAACGATGACGATGACGATGACGATTCCGATGATGATGATGGTGATCATGACGATGATGATGGTGATGATGATCATGACCATGATAATGATGCTGATGCTGGTGCTGGTGTTGATGCTGATGCTGACGATGATGACGTTGATGATGATGCTGATGCAGCTGATGATGCTGCTGATGACGATGATGATGATGCTGATTATATCGACGATGATGATGCTGATGATGGTGATGCTGATGATGATAATGCTGATGCTGGTGCTGATGCTGATGATGATGATGATAATGATGACTAGGAGGTGGAGAAGTAGGAGCAGGATGATGAGGAGGCGGAGATGATGGTGCTGATGATGATAATGATTATGATGATGCTGATGATGATGCTGATGATGATGCTGACGATTATGATGATGAGGGTGATGCTGATGATGATGATGCTGATGATGCTGATGATGATGCTGATGCTGATGCTGATGCTGATGGTGATGATGCTAATGACCAGGAGGAGGAGGATGAGGAGATGATGATGATGATGATGATGATGATGATGATGATGCTGATGATGATGATGCTGATGGTGATGATGCTGATGATGATGATGATGCTGCTGCTGCTGATGATGATGATGATGCTGATGATGATGATGATGCTGATGCTGCTGCTGCTGCTGCTGATGATGATGATGATGATAATGATGATGATGATGATGATGATGATGATGATGATGATGACGATGATGATGATGATGATGATGATGATGATGATGATGATGATGATGATGATGATGATGATGATTATGATGATGACGACTAGGAGAAGGAGGAGGAGGAGGAGGAGGAGGAGGAGGAGGAGGACGTGGAGGAGGAATAGGAGGAGGAGGAGGAGGAGGAGGAGGAGGAGGAGGAGGAGGAGGAAGAAGAAGCGAGGAGGAGGAGGCGAGAACAAGGGAGGAGAAGGATGGGGATTAGGAGCACATGGATCCCTCTTAGGACAATCGAGCCCGAATTTCGCAGGAGAATGTGGTGGTGGAGGCCCATAGGGAGTCCAAGGGGTGAGGGAATGCAGCGAGGGAAGGGAGGGAGGCAGGTATCCCAGGGAGAAGAGGAGGGAGCCTAAGGCTGCGAATCTGCGTTGAGGTACTCTGCGCAGCAGAGCCTGCGGAATGCACTGCAATCTATAATAGATTCGTGCCCCTGGGAGGTGCTGCAGTACTTTGCATGGAAACGGTTCGGGATCATGCAGACCGTTTGGGATTATCCAGTCGTCTATGGTTGGGCAATCGAGTATTTGCTGTGTGTGAAGTCCGCTCACTTCCCTATTATATCCTTTCTTACCGCAGCTGTATAGGCTGATGTACTGGCCATACACTAACAGTGCACTGCTCCCTGCGCAGTGCTCTGGTAAAGGAGTCCTACTCCTCGCCTCTACCTACGGACCCCTGTATAGGAACGGCCCCTCGGCCGTCTCCTTATAAACACAGGTTATCAGCCTTCTCTTATCCGCTCTTTGCTGTTGCAATTCGCGTCATCTTGGATTCCGCCGCTTGGTGCTGCAACTTCGTTGCGCCACCTGCAAGCGTGCGGTCTCCTCTACGGCGCGCTCTTGTGACGGCACCATGGAGAGGGCAGGAGGATCTATGATACCTATTTCCCAATTTTCAGGAGAAGGCAGTGCTGCGTCTCTTGCAACTGCACTCGGCGAGCCTTTTCCCCGATTCGCCGATGCTTCCGCCGCCCGCGCGCGCTCGCACGCCTCGGCCCTCGCGACAACGGCTGGATTCGCTTACCCTAGCGCCCGATACATCCGTGTCCCGCCCGTCGGTAGCCGCGCCCACAGTTGCTCCGCCTGTCGTCGGAGGCGACGCTGGCTTCACTACGCCTGCCCATTCCCCGCCCACCTTCGCTGGCACTGGCGGCGTCGGTGGCAGCGCCCGCAGCGGCCATCGCGCCGCGAACGTGTCCCTTGACATCGCTTTCGCGCGCAGCCGCCGATGGGCCAATGCCCCGTCGCCCGCCAATGTCTCCGTATCTGAACGTGTGCGGGTCATCGAGAATCGCTCTGGACGGACGTTTCAGCGCCGGGGTCCTGAGAGGTATTCCATTCGTTCCCTTACTCGATATGCCAGCCGCAACCCCTCTCAACGATGCTCGCGGCGCGGTTCTCAGCAGCGCAGCCTTGTTGCGCATTCCTTTTCCCAGTGCCAGTGCGACCAACAGCTATCGAGTCTGGCCGATCAGACGGCCACCGTCAGACACGAGCTGTAACTTGCTCTAGCCTTGGTTGACGCCAGGATCGCTGAGGATCGATCGATCATCTCTCAGGTACAGTTCCATATCAACCATATGGAGTCACACCGAGGTGCCGATTCCAGAACGATCCAGACGTTTCGCGACTACCTCCTACGGATGGAGGCCCAACTCGTGACCGTCAGGGATACAGGGACTGCCGTTGTCAGGGCATTACACGATGAGCTCCTGATGGTACGACAGACCCAACCTATGGAGGTACATGAAACCACGGACTCTCAGCTACGTGAGGACATGGATACACTTCGTACCCAGGTCGACCAGCATGCTGTCACCATACATTCCACCCACACCACACTCACGTCAGAATTAGATGGTAAGCTGCGTGGTGCCGAGACGGCCATCACTCACCGTCTTGAAGTTTCTGAAGGACGTGTGCCAACGGTCGAGAACCGAGTCTCCCAGGTCGAGCAGCACGTCCCCGAATTAAGAACTGCGCTGGTTGAGTTGCGTGTTGCACGGGCCCCGACTGATCAGCTGGGTACCCCGACTTCGGTTTATGATTTCGCCTCCCTCGAAACCCACATGGCCGAGGTGCAGCAGGTGGCGGACCACGCGCAGTTACGACCCACCCAAATGTCCCAGGAAAGAGGCGCTGAACAAACACGGGCCGCCTTGATCCTAGCCCGTTTGGAACAAGAGCGCGAAGCACACAACCAACGATTCCAAGACATTGAGCGCAGGCTGGGCAAGTGCTCCCAGCGGGCCCACAATACCAGCGTCGAGCTACTTGGTCTTCATCAGAGTGTCCAACATATCCAGCGCAGCGTTACGACGAACGTAGCTACATTGACCCCGCACGCCAGCAACACTGAGCTCCACCGCCCACCTTCAGACCAACGACCAGCTCCAATGTATGCCGATGGTGACATCCGCGCAGGCCATATGAAACGTGCATCGCCAGGCGCCGCCTCTGCTGCGGCCTATGCACAGACACGTCGCGTTTCTCCTGAGCGACCTCCCTCCCCAACGCAACCTTCTCTTTCGCAGACGTTATCGCGCGTCTCTGCTACCGCCGCAACTCCAATCAATGATTCCGACGCCGTGCGAGTGCCACAACTGCCACGCACTGCGCAATTACAAGAGTGGCAACACACGGTTCGCAACAACTTTGGCAGCGCATCTGGGCGCCCTGCCAGGGCTTCTGCATTCCTACGCGTTGCAGAACAACCCACGACAACCAGCGAGGACCTACAAGACAGCGGCGACTTCGAAACTATCGACTGCAAACTTGCAGCCGGACTCACTTCTGTTCTGAACTCTGAGCTGCGCTACCGCAACAAGAATTTCACAGCTCAGGAAAACAAGGCCGGCCGCGTGCTCAATGGCAGACGAATCTATTGGACGATATTGCAGTCCTACAAAGTCACCGCAGTCGAAGACATTCTGCACGA